CAGGGCGCGTTGACAAGCTTCTTTTTGTGCCTCTCCCTAGACCAGAGGAACGGGTTTCCATCCTTGTCGCCGCCACACGCCGTGTTAAGCTCCACGCGGATGTCAACCTTGCCGCCCTCGGCCGAGACGCCCGCGCCGATGGCTTTTCTGGAGCAGACCTTGCCGCCGTCGTCCGCACTGCGGGCCTCGCAGCCCTAAAACAAGGAATGGGCGAACTCAACCATGACCACTTCCACGCTGCTCTCGGCCAGATACGGCCCTCCGTCTCCAGTGGCGATGCTGAAGCCTACGACCGGGTCCACGCCCGCATCCGCGGCACGGACAGCACGTAGCACCTCGAAGCGCCTTTCATCCGTGGGTTGTCGGTGGACGATGTCGTGCTCGGACGACGCGGCGATCTCGGGCTCGATCGACTTACAGGTGTCCTACACGCCCGCGCCGGGCAGCCCGCGGGAAACTCGACGCTTTCTAGTTTGGGCCCCACCCGCCCCCCCGGCGCCTGAGTAAAGCCCCCAGCTGCCGGCCCAAAATTCTCGGGGCCGTTTCGGGTTCCTTGGGGTCCCGTCCGGCGCTGGGGGGTTCTGGGCGAGGTTCTGCCGCCGCCGGCGGCCGCGGGGCCGCGGGGCTTACTAGAACGAACTAGAACGGTTCTAGTTCTAGTATAGGGCTCCGGGTGATGGGAGTTTCTAGCCACGATGCGAGACACAGTTACCGCGCCCGGCCTATCTTGAGAGGCCTCGGGGTGCGCGGGGGTGGTCGACACAACAGGGGGGGCGAGGGGGGCACAGTGGGCGCGCGACGGGCGGCCGGCGGGGCCGGCGGAACCAGCGGGATTCCAGTTTAGGGCTCGGAGTCCGCTTTTCCGGTCGCCGTTAGCGGATGCCGTTCTTGTCGAGCAGTTCGCTGATGTATTTCCTTGCTTGCTGGGTTCCTCGCCAGTTGTTGTGGCGCCTGACTGGGGCGTCCGGGTCGAAGCCGTGGAAGGACGTCGGGCGATTGACGAGATCGTCGTATGTCGCCCCGAGTTTCGTCTTGAGCGCGCCGACGAGTCTCTGCACCTCTCCTGCTCGTACGCGGGACCCAGCGCTTTCCCTCCCCGTTGATCCTATTGTCAGGCAATCTCGGCGAGCTCTTGAGATCCAGCTAAAAAAATACTAAGTAACATCCCTAGTCCGGGGGCCGGGCGACGGGTTAGAGTTCACTGGGCATGGTTTTCTGGTAATCTCGACGGTAATGGAAGCCCAACCGGGCGGCGGGAGTTACAA